CCTGTGAGGTAGGTGGGGCTGAGAGAGCTCTTGACAGAAACGGCTCTTTTTCAAGGACAGTTCTTATCAGAACTAAGGCTTGCCCAAGGTTGTCCAGCCAGGTGCAAGTGGAGGAGTGGGGAATCAAACCCGGTTCTCCCAGATTAGAGTCCGCACACTCAAACACTACGCCAAACTGGCCCTGCTGCATCCTCGCAAATCTCACCCTGGTTGACCCAGCAAATGGCCCAGTGCTTCAGATGATTTCCCCAGCATCTTCTGGAAATGAGGCAGTTCCAAGGGAAATAGACTGAGCCCTGGCATGGGCACAGGTCTCGAGTTCTTCACCCAGGCATCTCCCAGTGTGGGTTCTTTGGCTCTTGCCAATGGGTGGAGTGACACCCTGCTTCGGACAGGACAGGGCCCCCCCAGTGTGGCGCCTGCCAGGGCTATTTTTGGGCAGGAACGTCACTTGTACCCAGAATTTAACTTTATCTTTCTTGCAGGTGCCACTGGACTCAAACCTCATTCCCACGTCTGTTTGTTAACTCTTTGGTCTGTATGCTAATTTACTGCCATTCCCAGACCTTTCCTACATCCAATCTCAGCGATAGTCACCCAGTACTTATGCAGAGGTCATTTTGGGGGGGATCGCAGTTCCCCCGGGTGAGGTACGGGGAGCGGGACACATGACGAAGCCCCGCCCCCTGCTTCCGGCCACCCCGCTTCCGGCCCTCATTCAGCCAGGAGGAGGCAGGAGAAGAGGGAGGGTAAGTTGCTTCCTCCCCGCCTCTCCCCACCCCTGCCTGCCTGGGGCCAGGGAGGGCCTTTGCGGGGCTTCCTTGCACTTCCGTGCTATAATGAGTTCCTGCTGGGCTTTTTCTACAAAAAGAACCCTGGCGCCTGCCAACAACTTTCCTGGCGCCAAAATGTTTTTAGGAAGCGGCTGGGGCTTTTGCCTAGCAGAGCTTCCGATGGGGACACTTGCTGGCCTGCCTGCCTATCTGTCGGAAAACATTTCAAAGAAAACGAAGGTATCAGTGGGCTTTCGAAGTCCAGCTTTTTACCAGCTTGCATACCAAATTCAATATTACGCCTAGAAACAGGCCTGATTTCCATTGACGTTTGGGTGTGGCTTTCTGAGATGAGGTATTAGCTGAAATGAAACTATTTTCCCAACAAGTCTAGCTCCATTAACTTTGTTGGATCATCATCAATCAAGATGGAAAAAGTCCCTGAACTTGAAAGTACAGAAAATGGGACTGTTGCCAAATAACCTGCTGAATGTGGGATATACAAGAGTGATATGTGAAATCAGCCAAAGATATAAAGATATCAAGCTACAACCAGAGGTCATTTTGGGGGGGATCGCAGTTCCCCCGGGTGAGGTACAGGGGCGGGGCACATGACAAAGCCCCAGCTTCCGGCCGCCCCGCTTCCGGCCCTCATTCAGCCAGGAGGAGGCAGGAGAAGAGGGAGGGTAAGTTGCTTCCTCCCTGCCTCTCCCCACCCCTGCCTGCCTGGGGCCAGGGAGGGCCTTGGCGGGGCTTCCTTGCACTCCCGCCGGCCTTGCAGGTCCACTGCCAGGCCCCTCATGGGGCTCGACAGTGGAGCTGCAAGGCCGGTGGCGGTGGCCGGGACCGTTGGGGGCGGGGTGTGTGGCCTTATGACACACTTCCGGTGATGTCAGGGGGTGTGGCATATACTAATGAGTTATGCTAATGAGTTCCCCTAGCTCTTTTTCTATGAAACGACCCCTGTACTTATGCATCTTGACTCTAAATGGCCCCTTCCTGACCACAATCCCCATCCCACCCCGTACAAGTAATGGTTGAGGAATTTCTGTTCCGCTGTATCTGAGGAAGTGTGCGTGTCCATGAAAACTTATACCATGGGAAAAAATAAAGATGTCACTGGACTCAAGCTTTGTTCTGCTACTTTACTTTTAAAATGGAAATAAGAAGGAAATTAAAACCTGCTTTTTCTTCACCTAGGAGCAACCAATTGCTTTTCGTCTAAGTAGGGCTTTCCGGAAATAGCCTAGTTCAGGGGTGGCGAACCTATGGCACGGGTGCCAGAGGTGGCACTCAGAGCCCTCTCCGTGGGCACGAGTGCCATTGCCCCAGCCAGGCCCAGACCATCATTAAAGTGTCGGATTCTCTGCCAAATAATTTCAAGTAAATGAAAGCATTTGGGATTGCTTTCCTTACTTTGTTTGCATCATCTTAAGTTAATGTATGAGTTGTTTTTTCTAAAGTAAAATCTCAGTATTCAGGTTAAATCGCCGTGTTGGCACTTTGCGATCAATAAGTGGGTTTGGGGGCGCAGTTTGGGCACTCGGTCTCTAAAAGGTTCGCCCTCACTGGACTAGTTCTACAGTCACCACTTCACAAAACTACATAATATAGAAAGGAGAGGAGACCTGAGAGGGGGAGAGAGGTTCCCTTACCGGTCCGTACTGGTTCATTTCCTTGTTCTGCGTTTCTTGAAGGGCGGCAACGGTCGCTGTGGCTGTGGCAGTGGCAGTAGCTGCTGCAGCGGCAACGGCAGCGGCTGCAGCGGCAGCCGCTGGCTGAGTGAAATCGGCAGGCGGCCTGGTGTGGGGCGGGATCCCCATTCCTGCAGGGTTATTGGGGCCTCCTGGATAGCTATGAGGTAAGAAAGAGAAATAGTTAGACACCATTGGTGCTGTTCGGGCAACTATCGCCACCACGGGGAACGAAGATGCAGAGAACAGAAGTAAGAGGTTATAGACATTTAGCAACATTTTGAGAAGGGGTTCCTTTCCCATATGTTCCCCCAAGAGCACTACGATCGGGGAACTCCAATCTCCTGGTAGTTCCAGATCCCCGAGAGACCAAGTTTGCCCCTACTAGGGCCAGGGCATTTTCGGTGGTGGCTCCTACCTGGTGGAATGAACTCCCAGATGAGATCCGGGCCCTGCGGGACCTTATGCAGTTCCGCAAGGCCTGCAAGACGGAGCTCTTCCGCCAGGCGTTCGAGTAGGAGCCGCCGCCATCGCCACTATCCTACCAACGAGGTAGTGTGCCATCAGCAGCCCTGTTAAAGGGGGACTGGCCCGGCCTGGTAGAACAGCGTAGCAGGAGACCGCGTTGCCGAGAGAGCTGGCCATCAAATGTAGGTGGCTGTCCCATCTTGGAAGATTAAATATAGGCTCAGCACCGTGTGATGGGATGGTTTTATTGTGTTTTAAATATGTAATTTATTATATGTTTTATTGTATTTTACTCTGGCTTTGCCATATGTAAGCCGCCCTGAGCCGTTGGGAGGGCGGGGTCTAAATCAAAAAAATAAATAAATCAATAGATCTTCCAGGGATTGCCAAAAACAACAAACAACCAGGGGTGCATTTGTACACATTGGCTAGGATCCACCGTAGGATTTCCACAGATGGAATACAGGTGGGCTCTAGCAAAATGCACCGAGCACCCTACTCTCCAAAGTGACGGGCCCATGGAGAAAGAGACTCCTTTGGCGGACAGTAGCCAGTGAGGGTTCTGTCCCGGTCTCAAGAGGCCTGGGTTGAGGCAGGGCATGCTGATGCAGACTGATGACACTATCAGCCTGCATCAACCTCCATGGAGTTCTAACCTGATAACCCAGGGGTGGGCCAGTCCCAGTACACAAGCAGAACAGTAGTGCACCAGACTCGCCTGTAGCTACAGTGGGACTCTTGGGGGCTGGCTACGCCATCTCCCTTAAAGGGCCAGCCCCGGAAGATTTCCTTCTGAAAATGTTTCCTAAAATCATTGCAAAAACATTTGTTTTAAAGGCTTTAACTAGCCTCACAAAGGTCAGCTGGCGTGCGCTGTCGCAAAGGGCTATGTGCGATGCCAGGGAACGACTGCCGCCGCCGGAGACTTGTGACTCCTCTTAGCATTTACACATGAGAGTTTTGGGTGTTCGAAACACGCTGTCAGCATTAGCACAGCAATTGTAGCATTACGCCTACTGAGCTCAGCAGGATTTACTTAAGAGTAAATGATGTAAAGGCACATGGGTGAAAGCCCCCTCCATTTTCTTTGTTCCCTCAGGGTGCCTATTCAGGGATGCTTGCCTCAACCTTCCCCTTTCGCCCTACCAACCCCACCCCAAAAAATGTCTGCGCCACAAGCAACGTTCCCTCTAAGCTGTGGTGTCTTGTGAGCAAAAATCCTACTCTGTGAGCTCATCCAGTCCAACACTCTGTGTCACACAGTGGCCAGAAATACCAGATGCCATCAGGAGGTCCACCAGTGGGGCCAGGACACTAGAAGCCCTCCCACTGTTGACCCCCCCCCCAGCACCAAGATGACAGAGCATCCCTTGCCCCAGACTCCCTATCTATACCTTGTGGCTAATAGCCACTGATGGACCTCTGCTCCATATGCTTATCTATCAATTACACACTGCCTCTCATCTTCGTCCTGACCTGGATGGCCCAGGCTAGCCCAGACTCATCAGATCTGGGAAGTTAAGCAGGGTCAGCCTTGGTTAGTACTTGGGTGAGAGACCGCCAAGGAAGTCCGGGGTTTGCTATAGAAAGGCAGGCAACGGCAAACCATCTCTGAATGTGTCTTGCCTTGAAAACCTCATGGGGTTGTCATAAATCGGCTGTGACCTGACGGTACTTTGCACCAACACTGTCATCCTGGCCTAAACAAAGACTTGGGTTTCCTCACTCACTACAATTTCTAATAGCTCTACGAGATCTACTTTGTAGGAACTCTAATTGGCTGTTCCAAAGATGTTTTATCAGACTATAGCCTGGTATTGATGTCGTTTAATTTTCTTAAGTCTTCAACAAGTGTTTCCCCGACGCATTGTATTTATCCTACTTTATTAGATCGTTTCTTTGTACCCCCAGGAGAGGCCGGAGCCTCTGACCTCTCTCACCATCCATTTAAATGTCCAGTTCCAGCCCCATACACAGAGAATTACACTTGAGAGGTCTATGACAGGATTCACACCAAACCTCTCTCTACCTCCACTCCTCTCCCCTGCCTGTAATTTTCCCCTACAAGAATTCCCAAAGATAGTTTCAGATGGTAGCTGTGTTCAAACTGCAGTAGAACAGCAAGATTCAAATTGAGTGGCACTTTGGAGACCAACATGAATTCCGGGGTAGAAGCTTTCCAGAGTCAAAGATCCCTTCGCCTTGTATCCGACGAAGGGAGCGACGATGCCCGACCGCTTATCGCCCGAAAATCTTTTCGGTCTCCAAGGTGCTCCTGGACTCGAATCTAAGAATTCCCCAAATGATTTCGACTCACAAAAGCTCATGTTGAAATAAATGCCATTCGTCTTTTTGGGTGCCGCTGGCCTTTTGTTTGATACGACCTATGCCCGGCATCAGGGGTCGTTTCCTGCAGGAGCGCACAGGAGCGGAGCTCCGGCAGCAAAGAGCCCAGGGGGCGGGCACATGCAACAAGCCCCGCCCCCTGCTCCCAGCAGCCCTCAGTCAGAGCAAGAAGCAGCCAGGTAAGTTGCAGAGCTCCACCCGGCCCCTTGGTCCAAAACAGTCCAGTGGCACCTTTAAGACCAAGTTTTATTCAGGTACGAGCTCTCCCTCCTCTGCCAGGACAGATCTGCACACGTTTCCCCCCCCCCAGCAATAGCTAGCAATCCGAAACAGTCCAGTGGAGCCTGAGCGGTGGGTGTTGCCTTCTGACACACTTCCGGTGATGTCAGGGGGTGGGGCATATGCAAATGAGTTATGCTAATGAGTTATGCTAATGAGCTCCTGCACCTCTTTTTCTACGAAATGGCCCCTGCCCGCCATAATTTTACAGTTCTGTGCAGCCACCCTCTCCCCCCAAAGCACTGGCAACATGGCTCGGGCTCAGTTTGATGCTGGTTTATCTGGCCAGTCTCTCCCCCAGTCCCCCCCTCTTTGCCTCTCGGGGGGGGGGACACAAAGCCCCAAAAGGTTTACCTCCCTGTGAGAAAGTCCATGATATCATTTCACTGGCAAACGTCTTAAAATCACCGTGATTACCCAACTCTGCCTAAAGCAAGCAGAACATTGGTGCAATCAAGCTGTGCCGGCTGAGGTTCGTTCTTCCCATGCAAAACGGCCGCCCTTTGATCCATCAGTATCCTTCACGTACCAGCTTAGCAAAACGTTAATCATCGTTAAACCTTGCGGTTTGTGTCACAATTTTCAGTGTTAATTAAAACTTTATTTTAGGTGTTTATTAGAGCTAATTGATTGACCCTGAGTCATTTGCAAATCATTTCCTGCTACTGTGATTAATTTCCTTTTAAGCCTGAGTAGTCTCTTTAAAAAAAGAAAGAAAAAGCACCGATGTAATTTTACTGGGCATGGTTACAGTAACCCTGTGGGCTTTTTAAATAATCAGGAAAACGCTTGCAACGAGGGCACGCTCTACTGTCAGGTCCTGGCCAAAGTGCCGCCCCTCCTCTGGTCCCGGGGTCCTTGCTTATACGCCTAATCATCCTCCTTGGTTATTCAAAAAGAATGCCCTGGTGATGAGGCAAAGTTTGTTATTCTCTTATAACATACATGGGCAACCACCCTCTGCTATTCGTTCTGCTGGAAAAAAAACAATTCCAGTAGCCCACACAAGGAAGGAAATGGCTATTCTCTCTCCATAAAATAGATTTCTTGAGCAATTAACAGGGCCCGATCCAATGATGAGATTGAGAGTGGTTGTTATGCGCACAAACTCCTTTTCTCACCAAGGAAGGAGAAGCGTATAGCCAGATTTATAGTTTGCCTTTCTCACTGAGACCTAAAGCAGATTGTACATAAGAACGTAAGAGACGCCAATGTTGGATCAGGCCAAAGGCCCATCCAGTCCAACACTCTGTCACACAGTGGCCAAAAATAGCAGGTGCCATCAGGAGGTCCAGCAGTGGGCCCAGGACATTAGAAGCCCTCCCACTGTTGCCCTCCCCCAAGCACCAAGAAGACAGAGCATCACTTGCCCCAGAGCCCTTATCTATACCTTGTGGCTAATAGCCACTGATGGACCTCTGCTCCATATGCTTATCTAATTCCCTCTTAAAGCCGTCCATGCTTGTAGCCGCCACCACTTCCTGTGGCAGTGAATTCCATGTGTTAATCACTCTTTGGGTGAAAAAGGACTTCCTTTTATCTGTTCTAACACGACCGCTCAGCAATTTCATTGAGTGCCCACGAGTTCTTGTATTGTGAGAAAGGGAAAAAAGTACCTCTTTCTCTACCTGCTCTTTCCCATGCATAATCTTATAAACCTCAATCATGTCACCCCTCAGTCGTCGTTTCTCCAAGCTAAAGAGCCCTAAGCGCTTTAACCTTTCCTCATAGGGAAAGTGTTCCAACCCTTTTATCATTTGAGTTGCCCTTTTCTGCACTTTTTCCAAAGCTATAATGTCCTTTTTAAGGTGTGGTGACCAGAACTGCATACAGCATGAGTCAAATATAGTCAACAGGATGGGCCTTCCCATGAAACAGCTCAAGAGAATTTGGACTGAAGAAATCTGAAAACAAGCAGAAATCTGAAACAAACCAGATAACAAAGTATAAGCATTTCTAAACATGACCATGACTATAAGCATTTAAACATGACCATGTTAAAGGATGCAGAAATTAGATAGTAGCTCCACAGTTTTTTGAAGGATTTAATCGACCTTACAGAATAGAATCTGCTACGAAGTGGAGTGTTTTATTGTAAGGTCAGGGGGGGTCAAACAAATGTGGGTTCTTCCCTGCTTGATACTGTTTTCTCATCCAAAGTGAGGGGTGGGGAGGAATTCGGGGGTGGGGTGGGTGAGCATGAACCTAACCCTTGTTTTCGACCCTGCCATGATACAAAATACTTCCTGAACGGGCTAAGAGGCAGCACCGGTTACTTCTACAAACATCTACCCGAGTATGGAGGTCACTACGCAAGAAGAGGACACAAACTATGGTTTTAATTAGGCGGAAGAGAAAATTAAATCCAGTGGATAAGTTTTGTCATTGGCTATTGCCAATTACAGCTGAGTGGAACCTCCATGGACAGAGAGAGTACACCACTGAATTCCAGATAACAGGAACAAACAACAGATGAAGGGTACCTTGACCTTCCTGAGAACCTCCCAGATACCTGGATGGCCACTATTACACAATTAGAACCTGATGGGCCTTGGCCTGAATCCAGTAGAACAGCCCTTATGTGCATGCGCTATTAGGGAGAGAATGTACCACGGTGGGGGTGGAAATACTGTCATGCCTGCCCTTGACTCAGCCCCAGAGCCAGCTCCTGACAGCCTAAGAGGGGAGGATTCAGTGCCTTTAAGAGCTGAAGAAGCATCAGGATCTGCACCTACTGTAAGTACTGAGGAGGATACACAGCAATCTGAGCCAACTACAGGACGGTTTGCACCTGGGATTGAGCAGGCCATAAGCAGCTCACCACCTGCATCTCCCCCACCTGTAAGCCGGCTTAGGGATAGGAGACGTCAGGAGCTGGGAAAAGAAGCATGTTCAAGAGGGTCGAGATCCTTGAGCCCTGAGTTTTAACAGCAGCCAGGACCTCGCACAAAGGTGCTAATGAGTTAATGGGCCAGAGCACTATTTAGTAGGGCCTCTGGCCATGAGCAATTTGTGCTGGCAACCTCGTTCGTAGAACCAGAAGCTCTGCACCTTGATTCCTGTTTGACTCTGTGGCTTTTGGACTCGGCTTGTGTTTGGATTGCTCTGGCTCCTGACTTCCAGCTTTGAACCTGACCACGCCCTCAGCTTTGCTCCCTGTACTCTGACCTCTGGTAACGTTTGACTACGGCTTTGCCTGGTGTTTTGGGACTTGTTTAATGCTCTGCTGACTGCTCTCCCGGCTGACCTTTGGACTTGTCTTGTGACTCCCCCTGTCTGCCTGCCTCCCTGGCTCTACCGTGACAAGTACTATCAAGCTGCAACCGATTTACAGCGACCCTGTAGTTTTCAAGGCCAGAGACGAACAGAGGTTGTTTGCTGTTGCCTGTCGCTGTGCCTCAACCACGGACTTCCTTGGTGGTCTCCCGTCCAAGTACTAAACAGGGTTGACCTTGCTTAGCTTCCAAGAGCGGATCAGACAGGCCTGGGCCACCGTCAGTATTGTGTGACCTGGTTTCTGTCCTAATGTGCCCACTTGAGGCTTCCCCGGCTGACCTGTTCCAGTCTTACCTTCCCGCGAAACCTCCGCTCCCCGGATAGTTGGGACGCCCGTACATGCTCTGCTGTATGTATGGCTGGTTGGAGCCCGCCTTGGCTGAGAACTGCTGCTGCTGCCCGGCAAACTGCGGCGAATTCATGCCAGGGTTGCTGGTTGTCATCCCAGAAGCCATGGGGTTTCCTCCTGGGTTCATGGGGTTGTTTGCAGTCGCCATGGGGTTCCCCAGCACCTGAGTGGGAGACGCAGAAAGGAAGAAAACAGACCAGCTCTTTTACCTGGGCAAAGATGTGGCTTTAAGAAGGAGTTCCACTTTATACGTTAGCCGTGGGAATCTTAGTGGGAAGGACTCCTTTAGGAGCAGAGAGAGATTGGGGGAGACTGAGTGTTGCTGCCCAACGCCTTACACCAATATTGGCCTATCTGGAGGAATAAAAACAGACCAGTCAGTGAGGACGCAGAGAAAGAAGTCCCCCATGGATCACAAAAGATGGGATGTGCTGAAAGGGGGGTGCCATGTTCAACTGGGAGGGAGGCAGTTACTCTTGGACAGATCGAAACATACTCCCCGGCTATACTGACTGTCCACAGATACTAACAAATGCAAGGGCTCTATAGCAAGTGTCTCAAACCAGCCTATGTGTACCGTACTTCCCTAATGTCAACCACGGTTCGACGGGGAAATCTGGGACAAAGGAGAGCCCATCCAATTCTCGTTAGCTAGAATCTTCAGTGAGGACAAGGCTTCAGTTAGTATCTTTGGACACACCATGATTTCTTCCACGGTACCCTGGGAATGGTAGTTGTTAGGGAACCGGGGGCTCTCTGAAATAGGGTTGCCAGATTTTACCTGTGTCCTGGCAGGGGGCTCCAGCCCGGCTTCCGGGATCTTCTGGTGTGCACGCATAATGACGTCACGCCGTGCACATCATTCAGGGGATGTGCTAGCATTTGACTAAAAAACTCTATGGTCACCATAGAGGTTTGACCCAAATGCTAGAGCGTCCCCACATGACGTGCTCAGCGCCATGACGTCACCTCCAGGAGATGTCATTGCATCAGGCACACCGGGCATGACGGGGCTCTTTGGCGGTGGGTCTTCCCCACGCCCCTATCAGGGGAATGGCAAACCTACTCTGAAAGGAATTCATTATTTGACCCCAGAATTGCCAAACCAAGATTTTTTAAAAGCTGGGGCAAACCACCACAATTTAGTGTAGAAATGTGGGCTGTATGAGTGAGGCGCAAGTGTATTATATGCAGGTCTAGGGATAGAACTTTCCTTTTTGTTAATGACCACTGGGCCCATTTCTCACAAACAGAAGTCATGGAGGTAAGTGAGTTTCTGGGTCTGTGCTACTCCAGGAAGAAGGTGGTGGTGGGGTGTCACGATGGAAAAAGACCCTCTTGCTGAAATTCTTACACAGAGAAAGCTAGCTGAGTGTAGACAGGGTTGGAATCCTTTTTTGGGGGAGACATCATGGTGTGGAACAAAAGTCTACACTGTTCATTGTTAGCTGTGCGGCCCCTGAAGGAGGCTTGCCAGAGCAACTCTGTTCTATCCACTTCGAAAGGTCTGCATTGATTACCAGTTTGTGTCCAGGTGCAGTACAAGCGCTGATTTTAAGGCGATGTAGCGAAGGTATCCAAAGACATCTCTGCTTCTTTGTGCTTACAAAGAGTAAGACTGTTCAAGGAAGCTTTAGTAGGACTTATTATACAGAAGCATGGGTGAGAGAGGCCAGATCTAGGATCTCAATTTTGGTGACCGCCTCTCTTTGGAACACCCTTTCCAGAAAACTCCCTTGCAAATTCCACGAGATCAGAGAACACCTTCCTTTCATGAAGTCAGATAAAGCTTATTGGGTTAGCGATTAACTTGGGGGGGAACTCTAACGCATGAACAGCTGACACCAAAGAAAGAGCATCTGATGTGAGGCTTGTGCCACGGCATCTTCTGCAACATCACACAGGGGTTTGGCGCACGGATTTTGGCAGCCACAGGATGCCAACCAATGCGCTGCCTCTAACAGGGTTGGTGCCCCAAGGAACTGTTTGTGATGCTTGTAATAGCTACACTCGTGCTACTATTACCACTGCTGGGAGGGGGAGAACGGGACCACGAAATATTGCCTGAAGATACAAACGTACACAGGAGCAGGGCTATTTTTGGGCAGGAACGCACAGGAACGGAGTTCCGGCTAGCTCCCAAGTTGACCACGCCCAGCAGGAACTCATTAGCATAATAGGCCACACCCAACAGCTGAAACTCATTAGGATTGGCTACATTAGGGGTGTGTGGCCTAACATGCAAAGGAGTTCCTGCTACAAAAAAAGCCCTGGGTAAACAGAATAAGAAGCAAAAGGTGGGTGTGGCTGGATGAGCACACTTCTGGCAACATGGGGGTGAGGCCTAATATGCCAATGAGTTGTGCTGTCAGAGGTGTGGCCTAATATGCTAATGGATTTCTGCTGTTGGGTGTGGCCTAATAAGCTAATGAGTTCCTGCTGGGCTTTTTCTACAAAAAGAGCCCTGCCAGGAGTAAACTATTTTAAGAAATGAAACTGCTGCAAATGTCTCACAGCTTCTTTGGAGCTAAGCAGGGAATAGCCAGGGTTTTTTTTGGGGGGGGGGGAGGTGCCGGAACTCCCAAGAGGGAAATGACGTTTTCAGTCTGTGTACTGAAAACTCACGAACTCTTAAAACATTTAAAAACGAATTTTGTCACAGAGGCTCGGGAACTCAGTTCTGGCGTGTTCCCCCAGGAAAAAAACCCCAGGGGATAGCCACGTGTCAGGGCCCAAAAAATAAGAGGTGAAATAAAACATCAGGCAAAACATCCAGAAGGACAACCATAGTTAAATAAACTAGGGCCCCGGTCACACGGAGAATTTGCCGCACGAAAGGCACAAATGCTGGGCGGATTTTCGGGGCGCGATCACACTGCAACATCTGGGAAGCGTAGCGCACCCGTGGCCAAACCATGGCGTGCTGCTGAAGATGCGCAGTAAAAAAGTACCTGCAAAGATCTACTAGCAAATGGTTTGCCACGGGCTGCAGATGGATTTATTCGGTGTGATCGCGCCAGTGCGCGCCTATTCGCTCCAGATGTCCTCTGTGCAGCGCGTGCCGAAGGACGAAACCCCGATTCACCACCGTCACATCTGATCGCATAATGGCAGATCAGAATGCGACGGCGCAAATAGCCCCCCCCGTTTTCTGTCACGTGTCATTCAAATACATTGGGGCTTCCTCCACATAAACCCCATTGAGACATAAGCTCTTGAGCATTTCCACCTCGTTTCAAGGAGGCACTCACTGAAATATCACCAGGCGATGGAACACCTTGCAATCTAGTGAAAAGGTATCAGTTCGAGGCACTTGTGAACGTATTATTTTTGCTTTCATGCCATTTTCCTTGGCGCTGTTTCCCTTCTCTTTGGCGTTCCCCATCCTGGGCCTCATTGGCCCGCAGAATGGGCAGAGCCGCCATGTCAAGAGTTACGTGGGTCACTGCAGCCAACCAAATGGCAACATGGGCAAGCACAGCCAAAGAGCCCGAAGGAAGGAAAACAGTGTTGTGAACAAGCAGCCACCAAGTGGTGGTGAGGAGGAAACAGCACCAAAACAATGCCAAAGTTCATCAAAGTGACCTTTTCTTTTTTTAAAAAAAATAAATACTAATTCGTTTACCGGCATTGAACGTGCGAATTTCGAGCAAATATTGAAATATTCGGTGTCTTCTTGCTCATCTTCTTGCTGATTTTTACCCTTTTTTGGTCGCTTGTTTTTAAGAAGCGTTCTGCTCCAGTCGCCAAGTCTGACCTGAAAGACGGTTGCGATGGACAGTGTGCGCCCCACGGAGCTTACCTGGCTCTGGGAAGTGTTAGTCACGCCCCATACTGTAGTGACCACCGACAGGGAACCCGGTGGTTGATTGGTGTTTTGCTGCCACGGAACAGAATCGTAAGGGAAAGACCCATCACTGCGGGAAGAAAAAGAAGAGACCGGCATGGAAGATCAAATAATGCTGTACAACGTAAACGAGTGCTGGGGGGTGGGGGTGAGATGGGGTGGTGAGGGCGAAGAGCCATCTTGTAATCTTTTCACAGAATCACCCCAAACATGCTCGCTTGGCGAACTACCCGATAAGCGATAACATTCATGAAGTGAATCGTTTTCTGTCTGGTTGCAAGCAGAACATTTGCTTTTTGCATCAGCCAAGAAAAGAAACACATTTGTCGGTGGAACACAAAGACGCATGGCTGTGAATGTGGAGAGGGATGGCAATGGAATTATTTGAAGCAGGGCGCGTTCCGCTCTTGAAACTAGGCTACCTGTAGTGATGGCAAATGACAACATTCTTGAATTATTATTATTATTTTTTAGCACGAGAGGTAACACAGGAAGCAAAGTGGGCGCTTGCGTAACTTTTGCTCTGCCGATGTTGTCATTCCATGTTTATGTTCTGGACCCCACCATGGCTTTTGCTCTCCTCCCCAGTGCAATCTGGTCTCAGCTCTGGCCCTTTTGACCTGCACTGGCATATGGCAGGAGCTCTTCCACCAGGCTTTCGGGTAAGAGCCACTGCTGCCACTGTACCACCACTGCACCGCTACCGCAAAGTGCGGGGATGCCACCGGGGTGCATGATGTCCCTGGGCCGAAAATCGGAGGGCAGTGTTGTCTTGGAACTTGCTCCGTTTTTCTGGGTCCATCTTCCAGAACCCATCTTGGAACTACGATCTTTTCAGAGCACCAGCACTTGATTGTAATTTTGTATTGTTTTATTCTGCTTCTAACTGTTTTATTATGGCTTGTGCCCTTATTGTTAGCCGCCCTGAGCTCGTTGGGGAGGGCGGGATATAAATTTGAATAATAAATAAATAAATAAATAATGGTGGTGAAGGGACTGCAATGACCAGTGACTTGAATTCAAGTTCAGCCGGGCATCCGATTGCCCATCAGATGAAGAGTGCATTGAAAATGCTCTCAGCAAATCACCATTTAAGAGGAGAGTAAATGTTGTGTTGGCAGGCATATATACCTGCTAGGGTTGCCAGCTCTGGGTTGGGAAATACCTGGAGACTTTGGGGGTGGATCCAGGAGAGAGCGGGGATTGTGGAGGGGAGGGGCCTCAGCATGATACGATGCCACAGAGTCCACCATTCAAAGCAGCCATTTTCTCCAGGGGAGCTGATCTCTGTCAGCTGGAGATCAGTTGTAAAAGCAGGGGATCTCCAGGCCCCACCTGGAGGCTGGCAACCCTAATACCTGCCTTATAGTGGATCAGACCCTCAGCCAATTAAGGCCAGTCTTCCCTACTCAAACCGGCAGTGCGTCTCCGGGGTCTCAGGTGGAGGTCTTTCACATCACACCCTAACTGATTCTTAACCAGAGATGCCGGGAATCGAACCGGGGCCTTCTGCCTTCCAAGCGGTTGCTTTACCACTGAGCCATGGCCCTTCCCTAATGGCTAACGCTGAACTGAGAAGTAGGAAGCATCACGTTCAAATTGCCTCTCTGCACCAAATTCGGGAAGTCGCCTAGAGCATGTCACGGTCTCTCATCCCTAGGCCCCGGAAACTGGCATATGGAGATAAAAGCAGTGTCCTGTCTCAGAGGATTGTGGGCAGCACCCTCATTTCATGTACTTTGAACGCCTGTACCCACCCCCTTGTTGCGTCTGTCTTTCTCTCTTCAGCGCTGATGAAATAAAACTAGACGTTTTCTGGCTGTTACCCCCCCTCCCCCAATTATGTCCGTACACTCAAGTAGACACAATCCAGTCCCACCTCTATATCTCTTCCTCATAGGTGATACTGATTTGGAGATCAATTAAAAAAACACACACCTGGCTACAATGTTCCCTCTAAGCTGTGGAGTCTTGTGAGCAAACATTCTACTCTGTGAGCTACTGGCATTCAGGTTGTGAGCGAGCGATTTGGCTGCTGCACGAATCAGTTTGCTCTGGAGCCCTCCTTCCTGAGCCAAGGCAAAAATGTGTGAGCCAGAGGCTAAAAAACTGTGAGCTAGCTCGCACTGACTCAGCTTAGAGGGAACACTGCCTGGCTATATGGTGATCAAATAGGGCAGGGGGGTAAAAATCTACACATTATGGGCATGAGCCACACTCGCACTGAAGGTGAGGCTCTTGTGCTTGGAGGATTCTGACGGGTCTCAAAAGAGCACCCAGCTCCCCGTCTGTGCGCTCACAGATGGGATGTGTGGTACGTGACGCCTCTCATATACCTTACGTATCCTTTGCCTATAAGATATTTGAGTTCAGACAGAAAGCCTGGACCGGCTGGGGCATATGGGACTAACAGGTGCCACGGAGCTCAGACCAAAGGCCTTATGCGCCAGGCTCACTATACTTGCCGGAGGAGGGAACCACCAGCCATTCCCAACAGAAGGCTGACCTAACACACGGTGACCCTCCCGGTTCAGAAAACCAGCTGATTTTGGAGAGCCAATGGTTTAATTCAAGCTGGGCAACCCATCATGAAGGAAGAGCCTCCCTCTGCACTCCAGACCTCCGGGTACTGGCCAATTGGTCTGTCTCCACCCATCCTACCTCCAGCTGGCCAGCCTACCTGGCTCAAAGGCACTCCTGGATGCCCTTGGCTGGACAGAAAGACAGCTGGATTTTCCTTTCCCTCTAATATCCCATCATGCTTCCTGCTCACAGATAGCGGAAAGGGGTGGAGGGAAGCCTGGCTCTGGTGAGCTCAGTTGGAAACCATCATGCACGAACAATGGGTCACTGGTGGACGCGACCATGCCCATAGCAACTACTCGTTTGCAAACGTATCCTTTACTCTCCAAGCTCAGCTCCTCCTGATTGTTCGCTTTCTCTTGTGTGTGTCCTGGATTTTCCTTTCCCTCAGGGGAAGCCTGGTTCTGGTGAGCTCAGTTGGAAACCATCATGCGCGAACAATGTGTCACTGGTGGATGCGACCATGCCCATAGCAACTACTCATTTGCAAAAGAAAAATTTACTCTCCACGCTCAGCCCCTCCTGATTGTTCGCTTTCTCTTGTGTGTGTCTGTGTTAAAATGACAAACTTGGATGGCTGCAGAGGTCCATCAGTGGCTCTTGGCCACAAGGTATAGATAGGGGCTCTGGGGCAAGGGATGCTCTGTCTTCTTGGTGCTTGGGGGTGGGGTCAACAGTGGGAGGGCTTCTAATGTCCTGGCCCCACTGGTGGACCTCCTGATGGCACCTGGTATTTCTGGCCACTGTGTGATACAGAGTGTTGGACTAGATGGGCCTCTGGCCTGATCCAACATTGGCATCTCTTATGTTCTTGTGTTCTTTCTTTCTTTGGCTGGGGAAAAAACAGATGTAAGGTACCCGTCTTGCGGTGGCTGAAACCGCCATCCCTCATGGGGCTTTCAAGGCAAGAGAGGGACAGAGGTGGTTTGCCATTGTTTTCTTCTGAGTCGGGACCCTGGACTTTCTGGGTGGTCTCCCCATCCGAGCACTAACCAGGCGTTCTGAGATCTGATGAGATCGGGCTAGCCTGGGCTGTCGAGATCAGGGCGAGGAACACATAAACATCTGGCAAGAGGAACCTTTGGTGCTGAAGGACGGCCAGCACAGCTTTGTCGAAACACCTGACTTTGGCTAACTTCAGCTGCCATGAGGCCCAACGCTGAAGCATTTGAGCGTGCTTGATATTGTTCGTTTTTGATATTGTTAAATTGCTGAGCCGGTCGGGTTAGAACGGATAAGAGGAAGTGCTTCTTCACCCAAAGAGTGATTAACACATGGAATTCACTGCCACAGGAAGTGGTGGCGGCTACAAGCATGGACGGCTTCAAAAGGGAATTAGATAAGCATCTGGAGCAGAGGTCCATCAGTGGATATTATGGACTGGATGGGCCTTTGGCCTGATCCAACATTGGCGTCTCTTATGTTCTTATTTCATTTGAGACTGTGATAGGGCGCACACGTAATGGAAACACCCCAAGCTCAAAAGCTCCCTTTTGAGCACTGCTCTAAAGCACGGGGCTGGGTTGGGGGGGGGGCGCCACTTAAAAACTTGCACTGCGGTGGGGATCCACGTGTAACAATGGGACAAATATCAAAACTGACCCAACAGGTCACGCCTGTGGGAAATGAGTGACATACATAATGTTAACAACAGAGCAAATGAAACATCCATTCCCTTCACAATGAGATCTATTTGAACCAGAAATGGTTACTGGGATGGCATCCTCTTGCAATGGATACTGTGCATGATTGAGGGAAATGCTCCATGAGATGCAATGGGAACAGAAACTCAACATAATGGGTCTTTTAGAGACTTCTCCTAAAACTGTTCACCTTACAGTGGGTAGAACAGATTACTCAAGAGCAACTGTGGGGAAATTTCTAGCTTAGGAGGAGAATGTCCTACAGGCCTTTCCTTGAACAATCTCCTAAGCATGAACACATTGGCTTTTAGAAGAAGAAGAAGAAGAGATTGGATTTATACCCCGCCCTTCACTACCCAAAGGTGTCTCAGAGTGGCTTACAAACTCCTTTCTCTCCCCCTCCCCACAACAGACGCCCTGTGAGGTAGGTGGGGCTGAGAGAGCTCTTGACAGAAACTGCTCTTTTTCAAGAACAGCTCTTATCAGAACTACGGCTTGCCCAAGGTCGTCCAGCCAGGTGCAAGTGGAGGAGTGGGAAATCAAACCCGGTTCTCCCAGATTAGAGTCCGCGCACTTAACCATGACACCAAACTGGCTCTCCAGTTTTAACTAGTGAATGCCACTGGGCCCTACCACCAAATATTTATTATGTAGGAGGTTTGTTTCTAAGAGATGGGGGAAAGAAGCCAAACACACACACACAGAGAGAGAGAGAGAGAGAGAGAGAGAGAGAGAGAGAGAGAGAGATTTTGATATACATGTGAAAAGGGGGCACCTAAACCTAGACCTCAGGGTGAGTCTCAAAATGTTGAAGACCAAGGCCTCATAAGACATTTGACTACATCTAATGACAATACACTGACTCAAGATACCAAGGCCTGAAAATGGTCCCTTAGCATCTGTATTCTTAACTAATGATTCCCAAACTAATGAAGGGAGAGAAGCCTCCATTCTTGGGCTGTGTTCCTTGGCACAACCAAAGGGAACAGGTCCCACCATGAACACGGAGACAGACGGAGGACTAGGACAACCACCTTCAATGAGGCATTATGAAAAAATGCAGAATATCCCTCCGGCAATTGCATGTACAATATCAAACACTGAAACCAACTGCAGAGCTCAAGAATGTAGCGCTGGGATTCTACCTTCCGTCACTGGCTGGAAACCCACAGATAACACATCGAACGTACAGCCCCAAACTGCTCTGCCGAAGCCAGTGGTGCTCGAAGAGGGGCTGACAATTAACACGGGAGAGAGACGAAGTGAAGGTAGGGTAGCTTGACCTTCCCTGACTTCTCCCTCCCTTGCTGCTTCTGTTCAGGCAGGGGCGGCATCCCCAACCTCGCTAGATATCGCGCTATCATTGCCACAACACAGCTCATTAAAAAGGGCAATGTGGTGGACCCATCCATCTTCCAAGGAGCCTTTCCCCAGCCTACAGAGCTATCCCCTAACTTATGTGGCTCTTCCTCCAAAGGAAGAGCCACTTAAGTTGGAGGACGTCACCTTAGGCTGGAGGAAGGCTTTCAACTTTGCTCAGTGAGGCGGTAGTATTCACCCTGACGTCGAGTTCGGCCCTTGAAGCTGTGTAACTTGGGTCTCCCAATTAATGTATTGTGCATTATCAACGTCTACACGTACAGCGGTCTCTTCTCAGACTCTGCCATCCCCCTCACTGTGCCCTGTCGGCCGACCCTCTCCTCCTTAGTCTCACAGAGTAGATTTGAGTCCAGTAGCATCTTGGAGACCAACACAATAGTCGGGGTATGAACTTTAGAGAGTCAAAGCTCCCTTCGTCAGTCTCCAACAAAGAGAGCTTTGGGTCTTGGAAGATCATAGCCCGGAATTCTTCTGCCTCTCCAAGGTGCTCCTGGACTTGGACCTAGCTGCCCTGTTCCTTCATATCTCAAACCCTATGATAACTTACTGAGTAGCATCTTTGCAGGATCTCAAACAGCAATGAGGTAACACTGCAGGTGGGGAGGAGACACGCCTCCTACCGCTTTGAAAAACCCATTGTGACAGTTCCAGTGAGCCAAGGGACACATTCCCAGGGGAGTTGAAATCCCTGATCAGCCTTGGAAAGCCTCTGTTGCTCTCGGGTTCCAGTCCCCACCGGTGAAGTACAAACAATGTGGACGCATCTCCACACTGAGCTACTCTGTGAATGAGGTCTGGAAAGGGATCCTACCCATCCTTAGCAACAGGGAAGGTTAGACATCTGAACGATCCATTCATTATCTAGCTCCTCCTGAAGCATCCTTAGGATAGTTCCTCTCAACTTTGGGCACAAACACTGCAACCCCTTCCTGTTGAATCTCTGCCTTGCCCCCATAGTTGACATTTTCCCTTGACCCCCCCCCCCAGGCATTGCTTTTCTGTTGTCCTCAACAAATCTACACCTGGGGTGAAGGAATGAAGGAATGAAAGCAGCTTTTCCCGCGAGTTTCCTCAGCGGTGAGACAGGAGGTGGGGATTTGGTGGCCCAAAGGGTGGGGTGGGGGGTGACCGAAGGACAAAGATTGGGCTCAAGGCGAGAATAATCTGTTGTGAGCGGGAACGCACAGCACAGTGGACATGGTCCCAGATTTACTAAAGACAGGGGGGGGGAACCCGGCGACTATTGGCTTCGAGTGAACCTCTGTGTTTATGAAGTACCCCTCTCCGCGGCTAGCCCACAGAGGACAAGGGAGCCTATCACCGCCTATTTCAGAGCCTGGCTCTTTAGCGCAAGCGACAGAGACTCACGCTTTCAGCTCTGGAGGTCCCCGTTTCAATCTCTGGGGTCTGTCAAGATGGCAGCCGTCACATATGCACCTATGAATTAGAAGGGAAAGTGTAGGTCCAGAATCAAAATCGAAAGCCCTGACAATATACATAGATCACCTTGCTCGACACCTGGACTTTACAATTACAATATTTAACTCCTCAGGCTGAGTGATGCTTATAATTCATCGAGGCAACTGACAGGTGGACTCATGGACACACATGCACATGCGCGCACGCACCAGCACACCAGCACACACACACAGCCTGTCTCTCCTCACTTGGGATCCGGATCATACGGTTTTAGGGGACATCCCTATTTTCAAACAGCAAAATGGCAGCATTAGTTAACGGGACTCTGGTCATTATACCACCAGCGATGAAAACATTCACATTATCTGATCACGGAGGGAATGAAATCGCTAATATTTTATTATATAATACCCAGTGCTGATGAAGAAGCTACAGAGAGTCCGGATATGACCTAACGGCGGACTCAGAGATGCCAGACAAAAGAGCATCCCCGTGTCACATTCTTTGCCACAAGACACGGCAGGGGTCCCCGGCCTTTTCCAATGTGGGCACCTTTGGGATTCTGACGCAGGGTGGTGGGGCTCAGCCACAAAAATGGCGCCTGCAGGAGGTGGAGCCAACCACAGGGAGTGAGGTCACACAGGACACTGAATCACTCGTCCATATTTCAGGCAGAAGCTCTGTTTAACAGGATGCTTTTCAGAATGAAGAGAGGTATTTAAGATATTTCCTGGCACATGCGCACGCAGAAACGCAATGAAGACCCTTGTGCTGCAGTGGCAGCTGCTGGTCAAACAACTTTTAAACACTATGTGCAGCCAATCAGCTCGCCAAAGGCCCCGCTGAGCAAAAGCCCTACCTGGCCACACCCATTTTCTAAAAACATTTGGGAGGTTCCAGGAAAGGTGACAGAGGGCAGCAGGGTACCCCCAGGCACCATGTTGGGGGACCCCCCCCACGTATCGGATCACTTGCTGCAAGCCATGACGGTATTGGCCCTGCAGGGAGTAGCGCAGCAGTGAAGAAACATATAACATGATGACAACGCGGCATGTGGTAAGTATTTCTACAGGTTTTGCAGATAAAGAAGAACAGCACACCCAGGGTTGCCATTTTTGGTAGCATCCTTGCATTGGTCAAAACCTCTGCACCAGTGTTCCCTCTAAGCTGAGTGAGTGTGAGCCAGCTCACAGTTTTTTAGCCTCCGGCTCACACATTTTTGTTTTCGCTCAGGAAGGGATGGCTCCAGAGCAAATTAATTCATACAGTAGCCAAATCGCTGGCTCACAACTTGAATGCCGGTAGCTCACAAAGTAGAATTTTGGCTCACAAGACTCCACAGCTTAGAGGGAACATTGCTCTGCGCTAAGACACAAGCCTCAAAACAAGGAATGGATCGGATGTTGGGAACGGCAGATTATTTATGTGAACAGCACGTGTGGTTTCCGAAAAGACACCTGCTGCTATTAAAAACCCTATTAATCTCGCAGACCGATTTCACACGAGAGCTGCACCGTGGTCGCGCCTCCCTTTGCCCCGCTTCTATTGGTCAATTTCCAACTCAAAGCTGGGTGGCCACATTTTGACCTGTGGCTTTGTCCAATTTTCCCCGTGGTTCCGTGATCCTCAAAAAACCAGGACCACGAAACTGTGGGGGAAATCGGGTGAAGCCGCAGGTCAAAATGCGGCCACGTGGCTTCGAGTGGGAAATTGACCAATAGGAGTGGGGCAAAGCAAGGCGCGACCGCTCTTGTGTGAAACCGGTCACGGTGTTTAGGCCACCGTGCTGGATTAACTAACAGCTCTGGCATGGGAATATGCACCCCTTACACTAATTCAGGCAATAGAACCATTGAAAAGTTGATGGCAACAATCCAATCCGTAACTTTGTGAGGATTCAGATCCAGGGCCAGAGGTTAGCTCAGCGGGCTATGCAGTCTGGAATACCATAAGGACCACTAGGTAAACTGGCTATACAGCCATTGGTACTCTCAGGGATCGTTTTGTAGAAAAAGAGCTAGGGAAACTCATTAGCATAACTCGAGGAAGCCCCGCCAAGGCCCTCCCTGGCCCCAGGCAGGCAGGGGTGGGGAGAGGCAGGGAGGAACAACTTACCCTCCCTCTTCTCCTGCCTCCTCCTGGCTGAATGAGGGCCGGAAGCGGGGCAGCCGGAAGCAGGGGGTGGGGCTTCGTAGTGTGCCCCGCCCCCGTACCTCACCCGGGGGAACTGCGATCCCCCGCGATCCCCCCCCAAATGACCTCTGGGTACTCTGTTTTGGGTGCCCAAGAAGGCTGGAAGCAGTGTGAGTCTCTCTCAGGAGCAAAGTGAGCAATGGCGCATGTCAAGAAATGGCCCATGTCACAGAGGACTTGGGAGTAAGGGACCGGGTGAGCACTGGCTGGAGGGAAGATGAGGGTTAAGCAGCTGCAAGGGAGAGATGGAACCAGGAGAGATGAGAGGCAAGGGGAGGGAGAACCAAGTGAGTACTGGGTTGGGGAAAGAACAGAGGGGCTGGGAGGGAAAGATCTATGAGGAAAGGTTAAGGCACTTAGGGCTCTTTAGCAGGGAGAAACGACGACTGAGGGGAGACATGATTGAGGTTTATAAGATTATGCATGGGAAAGAGCAGGTAGAGAAAGAGGTACTATTCTCCCTTTCTCACAATACAAGAACTCCTTGTGGGCACTCCATGAAATTGCTGAGCGGTCGGGTTAGAACAGATAAAAGGAAGTACTTCTTCACCCAAAGAGTGATGAACACATGGAATTCGCTGCCACAGGAGGTGGTGGCGGCTACAAGCATGGACAGCTTCAAAAGGGAATTAGATAAGCCTATGGAGCAGAGGTCCATCAGTGGCTATTAGCCACAAGGTATAGATAGGGGCTCTGGGGCAAGTGATGCTCTGTCTTCTTGGTGCTTGGGGGTGGGTCAACAGTGTGAGGGCTTCTAGTGTCCTGGTCCCACTGGTGGACCTCCTGATGGCACCTGGTATTTCTGGCCACTGTGTGATACAGAGTGTTGGCCTGATCCAGCATTGGCATCTCTTATGTTCTTATGTTCTTATGTAACCATCCGTGCAGTTTATATGCTCTCCCCTCCCTCCTTCTCTTGCCTATGATGGGTCTCTTTGTCTCTAGGCTCCAAAGTCATGGAGGGAAGCCATGACCATGGCTACCAGATCCACAAGGCTGTCAGGAATGGTCAAAGAGAGAATCAGAACATAAGAACCTAAGAGAAGCCAATGTTGGATCAGGCCAATGGCCCATCCAGTCCGTGTCACACAGTGGCCAGAAATACCAGGTGCCATCAAGAGGTCCACCAGTGGGGCCAGGACATTAGAAGCCCTCCCACTGGTGTTGACCCCCCCCAAGCACCAAGAAGACAGAGCATCCCTTGCCCCAGAGCCCCTATCTATATCTTGTGGCTAATAGCCACGGATGGACCTCTGCTCCATATGCTTATCTAATTCCCTCTTGAAGCCGTCCGTGCTTGTAGCCGCCACCACTTCCTGTGGCAGTGTCTCTCCTTGGTGGACTATCTGCTATTGAAACTGGTGAGCTAGCCATGGCATAGGGTCGCTATTCCCCCCCCCCGGTGAAGCCAGGGGTTCTCCCAATTTTGGGGGCCTCAATCTGCCGGCAGGGGACGGACTCCCCTTGAGAAGCCCCCTCCTGGTGCTGCCAGCACAATGATATCACCCGGGAGTGACGTGTTTCCAACATCGGGGGTGATGCTCTAGATTTAGGGCAAAACTCTATGGTTTTGAGGCAAAAGAACCCCATAGATTTTTTTCCAAAACCTAGTATGTTGCCCCCGATGTCGGAAACAAGGTGATATAACTTCTGGTGATGTAATCATGACACACGTGCACGCCAGAAAATCTTCAAGGAGGAACCTGGAGGCCCCCTCGCCGCAAGCCACGTAGGACCTGCCATCCCTACCATGGCACCTCAGAAAGGCCAAACTATTCCAGATGGAGGCTGAATCATTCTTCTAGACGGCTTTATCCCACAAGACCTTTTTTTAGACATCATGTTTGGGGTATCCAACCACATGTACTGGGAGTGGCAGGTTACCTGTGATCTTCCTGATGTGTGAGGCGTCCCGTTTCAGATGACATGTAATTATAGATCTTGGGAGGATTGTGGAAAGTCCGTGTTCCCACAATCATATGTGTGGCTGGATAGCCCCCCAAAAGTCTGAAAAACTCTTAAAAGAAGCTGGTGTTCTAAACCATCTCCTGCCAGGATCAGGCAAAGCCAACAGTTATCCAATTAATTCAGCCCATCCTACATTGCTATCCAAGCAACCATGTGTCAAACTGCCAAGATAAAATTTGTTCTAAGTATCTATAGCCAAAAAAGAATATTATGAAGTTATTAACTTGCAGAACAGCTTTCAACCACAAAATACAAGATGTCTCCCGGAAACAGGCGATCATTTCCCCAGAAAGCACTTTCCTAGGGGCGCCTTCTTTGGGGGCCTGTAACTTGGACCTCGTAAATCCAATCCTCACCAAACTAGGAGGGTAGGTAGAGGAGAGTCATCTGGAGGTCCCCTGTGAGTTTGGTGACTCTAGCGCACCTGTGGGCCACTGTCCAATGCTCCCTCTAAGCTGTGGAGTCTTGTGAGCAAAAATTCTACTTTGTGAGCTACTGGCATGAAAGTTGTGAGTGAGCGATTTGGCTGCTGCATCAATTAGTCTGCTCTGGAGCCCTCCTTCCTGAGCTAAGACAAAAATGTGTGAGCCGGAGGCTAAAAAACTGTGAGCCAACTCACACTAACTCAGCTTAGAGGGAAAACTGCGCCCTGTCCTACTGAACTGGTTTGTGAGGCAGCTAAAAATTTGTTATGGTCTTGTGGTTTGCAAACGGGGCACGTCATGACCCATGAACTGAATGAATATGCATTTTCTGGGTTTGTGCCCATCCCCAGGGCTATTTTTGGGCAGGAACGCACAGGAACGGAGTTCCGGCTGGCTCCCGAGTTGGCCACACCCAGCAGGAACTCATTAGCA